CTGGGGGTGCTGCTGGCAGCCTGCGGGGTGTGTGCAGCCCCTCCCCGCCCTCACTTTGCATAGGATCGCGGCTGTCCCCGGCCACCCCCGCCCTCCATATAAGCCTCCGGGGCGGCGTTGGCCACAGCGGCCCGGCCATGCTGCAGAGCCCGGAGTGCCCCCGGCCCGGCCCGACGCCCCCCAAGACCCCGTTCCACATCGAAGCGCTGCTGGCCCGGGAGCCGCCTCGCCGCGGCCCCGCCGTCCCCGGGAGCCCCGGGCTGGTGGCCCCGCGCTGGCCCCCGGCGGGACCGGGACCGGGACCCGCACCCGGAGTGGCCACGGCTGCACCCCCGGTACCGGCGCTGGGGCCGCTGCCCGGAGCCTGGGGATGGGGCTGGGGCTGGCCCGGTGCAGGTGAGCGGGGGGAGCGGGGATGGGATGCGGGACCGGCACCGCATAACGGGGAAAGAACGGGCTGGGGTCAGCCCGAAACGCTGGAGCGGCGGAAAATCGCCCGGAGCAGCCCCGGGATGAAGCCTCGGGCTCTGGGACACGGACGAGGGAGAGGAAAAACTTTTCCTTAAGAGGTTTTTTCCCTCCTCTGTAAGCGATCGATATAGCGAGACCAAAAATGAACGCTTTATGTGGTTTTTTTTTGGTTGTTGTTTTTTGGTTTATTTGTATTATTTTGTTTATTTTTGTTGTTTATTTGTTTATATGGTTTTGTTGTTGTTGTTTTGGGGTTTTTTAATACTGCGAGGCGGTTGCTAACACACCTGACGTCTCTAAAGACTCTGCTAAAGAAAGAGCCTGTGGTTGATTCCTAAAGATCCTACGGGATTTTTTACTAATCCATCATTCAGTCCTGGTGCAGAATATCCAAACTCAGAATACCCAAACTCCAATGTTTGCATTAGAGATGGAGCCAAAAACTTGGAATAGGTTCAATAGTAAAGTGACAGAGCTAAAAAAAGAGAATATTCCAGCACCGGGGTAGGGGAGGTTGGGACTAGATGATCTTTAGGGACTTTTCCAACCCAAAGCAGTCTGTGATTCCATGAGATTTTACGGGTGACTTTTATTTCTGCCATTTCTTTCTCCTCTCATATATCAGGAAGGCACTTCACTGCCAGAGTTTTAATCAAAAACCTGCTGTAATTTCCCAAAGCCTGGCTCCTAAAATTAATTTCTTCACCTCTGCTGCTGTGTGGGTCCCTCTTCTCCCAAATTTGCTCTCATCCCTCTCTAATTTTGCTTTCCCTGCAATTTTTCACTCACAGAAGTGAAACTGCCAAGTGTTTTGCAGCACGTGGCCCTTAAAACTTCATATTTTTAGTGCAGAAGCATCTAAGGAAAAATGGTTTTTGTTGATCCGTGGGTAAAATTTACACCATGGTGATGGATGATACTGCCTGATCTGTCTAGCTCTATTTTCACTGGAACTTTATAAGGACAACGAGCAAGTGATTTTAACAAAATATCTCTATTCAGAGTATTTTTCCTGAAATTAAGTATTCCTTTTTAGCATTCAGACTGTGAACTTGCTGTAGTCCAGGCAAAACCTGCAGCCAGGCCCACGTGTATAAGGAACTCCAGCTTTGATCCCGATGCTACAATATTCAGATTTTCTGATCTTTTATTAAGTACTTAGCACAACTATTTAAGGTATTATTTCTTTCACGAGACAGCATCTGTAGAATCGTGTTAATATTTATATTATATCAAACATCCAGGTATGAAAACACAGTTAAACAATTTGCAGAGCGATTTCCACTCAGCATTTCATGTTGGAAATTACACTTGCTATTATTCCAGTGTTAAAATAGAAACAAAAAGTGATGGGTGAAAAGATTTTTAATGATGAAAATAGTTTTAAGTGCAATTACAGCTGTTAAGCTGTCAGGTCTCCGTCCCACAAATCCTTAAACACACGCAGAACTTACACCCAATTAATGAAAATAAGTAGGTCAAGGTGCAGGTTTGTGCCTGGAGAACGTGACAAGATCAGTCATTAAAGGAGAGCTAAGTAGCAGGTGTGAATGGGGACCATTATGTGCAGTATTTCCATAAAAGCTAGAGAAACCTGCCTTGCCACAATATTTTGGAAGAGCAGACATGGGGACCATTATTGGCCGCATCCTGCCGGTGCATTCGGTGCTTTGCACATGGAAAATCCCGCTGGTTGTAATGAATGGATTATTTTAAAGTGGAGCTGGTGCTGGGAGAAGTCGTGGTGCCATCAGTGCTGCCCTTCCCTGGTTCCTAAACCCTTCAGGCTGAGCCCTGCAGGAGCTCTCCAGTGCAATCACCTGGGCATGGAATCACAGAGCTTGGGCTGGGAAGGGATTTCCAAGGGCTCTGCAGTGAGCAGGGCCGTCAGCTGGATGAGGAGGATGAGGGACTGAGGAAGGGGAGACCCGCTCTCAGTCAGGTGCCAGTGGCAGCGCTGGTGTTGGATTGTATGTTAATTTATGCTAATTACGGTTATCCTCAGGCCACAGCTGAAGAGGAGACAGGTCAGATCCACTTGTTAATCCTGCTAAATCCTCAGCACCCCCTGGGAACTTCATGGGGAACAGAGGTGCAGGATGTGGTCCTGCATGAGAGCTGGCTCCTGGACACTGAGCCCGTGTGCCAAGGCAAGGGGAAAACCAGGGGCCAGGCTGGGGTAAACACCCCCAAACTTTGAACATTTGTGATTCAGGGGTTCTTGAGACAAAAGTGGGATTTTTGTGTTCTGAAGCTCTTGATGCAATTTATTATCCTGTTACAAAAGTCAAGTCCTGCCCACCTCACTGAGTGCCGATTTCTTTGGGTCTGGCTGTACCAAGGCCTGTCCTTGATGGACCCTGAGGGTTAAAACCATAAAACAGGCCCTCAAAAGTTCTGCTCCAGCTTTTCATAGGAAAAGGAGCCTAGATGAGATTATCTGGGTAGGGACAGGGCAGGGACATCCCTGCTGGGTTTGGTGCTACTTTCTCCCAGCTCCTTTGGCACACACCCCTTGAATTTTTGCTGCTTTCTCACAGGTCTGGAGTTGTCTCACTGTGTCGGGACCAACTCGCTGGGTCCTGCTGGGCCTTGGAGGTCGGGGGGGCCCTGCAAGATGAAGAGAGTCCGCACAGTCTTCAAACCAGAGCAGCTGGAGCGACTGGAGCAGGAGTTCCTCAAGCAGCAGTACATGGTGGGCACGGAGAGGGTGGACCTGGCTGCAACTCTGCACCTCACAGAGACCCAGGTAAGGGACGTGGAACTGATCCCAGGGCTGCTCTGTGCTGATGTTCCCTCTGGGAAGGTGGTGGGAGGAGGACACGGTGTAAAGTGACCCGTGGGACACCCTGCTGCCAGGTGACATTGAAGAGATGTGCCTGGAGTTTGGATGGTTTCTGGATAAGATTTCTGAATCCATGAAGTGGAGCAAAAAGCATTCAGGAGCACAGCCCTGCTGTGCTTTAGAGTTGGAGCTGGGCTGGTTGCTGTGTCTGCATTGTTGAGTTCCTCTGGAGACTGTTTCAAGTGTCCTTTTATGACACTGGATATAATTCTTTCCCTGCTCCACTGTGTGAGTTCCTGCTCCTCCCACAGAAAACAGTTTAGTATGGAAAGAAGGAGCCAGGTCATCTTCCACAGTGGGATCTAAATTCAGCTGGGAAAAAGCAAAACAAGGCCAGTTCTGGGGGGACAAGGGATAGTTATCGGGGGTCTCATCATGTCCTGAGGCACCTGCAGTCCTGGGGATGGGTTCAGGGGCTCCTTAGGGAGCTGCTTCCTTCACTTCCCTGGCCAGACCCTTCTCAGTGCAGCTGCATCCCCCTCTGCCCTGATCCTTTCCCATCACTGCTCTGCCCTGTGTCCCCATTCACTATTCCATGAGGGAATAATGCACGTCTCCATTTTAAGGAACTCTGCTTTTTGGGGAGAGTGGCATTGCAAAAGGGCTCCCAGAGCCCTTGGATTAAACTGTTGTGCCACTTCCCATCCAGGTCAAGGTGTGGTTCCAGAACCGGAGGATCAAGTGGAGGAAGCAGAGCATGGAGCAGAAGGCAGCAAAGCTGTCGCAGTTCGGGGTGATCCAGCCTGCGAGCGCCGACTCCACGGACAGCAAGGACCACGAGGAGGACACTGTGGACGTGGAGCTTTGAACAGCCGAGGAGATTGGGCCGGGTTTTGATGCCTGGGGACGTTTCTGTGCTGCTTTGGTCTAAGCAAGACTGATCTGAGAGCTGGAGTTACAGGACTAAACTGCAGCTGGCTGGAAGGAGCCCCCGAATTTCTTTGGCTGCTGTTTGGTAGCCACGTGCTGTAATTCCTGGGGCTTCATCACTCGATGACAGGTGATCTCCTGTTTGCTCATGAAGCACCAGGACACACAAAGTTCCCAGCAGAGAGGCTGGGTGACAATCAGTGTGTCTCTGCTGCTGGGGTGAGAATTAGAGAGTGACTGATACTGGGGTGACAGTCAGAATGATTCTGATGTCGGGGTGACAATCTGCAGGTTTCTCTGGTGTGGGGGTGACAATCAGAGAGTATCTCTGGTGCTGGGGTAACAACCAGAGGGTGACTTTGATGTTGGGGTGACAATCAGAAAGTCTCTGATGCTGGGCAGACAATGGGATGCTCTCTCTGATGGCTCTGAGCACAAGGGCATTTAAAACCAGAGTCACTTATGTTATGTGTGCCTTTGTTCTCCAAGGAGGGAGGAGAATCTCCCTGATCTCTTTTTCTTCTTAACTTGACTCCCATGTTTGATGTTCAGATCAATCACAACCAAAATACCCCCAAACAGGGAATCCCTTTGCTCCCACCCACAGGCTCCTGCAATGGGATGAGCAGGGTCTGATGCTGCCCTGGAGCACAAGTGCCTCCTCCTGCCAGTGCCTTGCTGTATCTGTGCCTTTTTCATGGCTTCCCACACCTGCATTCAGCTGTCTCTGTCCCCTGGCACTGCTGTCCTTGCCCAGGGTGTGTGTTTGTGCTGCTGCTGCTGCAGGGAACAGCCCCAGGGCTGGCTGAGGTGCAGGGCTGGAGGCTGCAGTAAAATCCAGCTCCCAACACCTCTGCTGTTCAGAGGCCCCCTGCCCCGCAGCCAGATGTGCCATTCTGGCCCCGACTGCAGCTGCTGGGTTCTCTCCTCATTATCCGGGCAGGTGTCCTGGGACACAGCACCTGGAGCGCTCCGAGCACATCTGGAGCAGCCCGATGCAGTTGACAGCTGGATTTTTGGGGGTAGCGAGGGCTTTGGGGGGCCAGGACTGAGGACTCAGGCTGTCACCTTGCCTTCCTACGGCTGCCCAGAGCCATCAGCTCAGGATAATTTATTCTGTCTCTTTCTGACCTAGAACACTGTATATCACTTTACTCTTACGTTGTTATTTATAGAAATGTCTCTTTTTTTTGCCTTAATACGTGTCACTTATTTATTTGCTTTGTCTCTTGATAAAAATTGAGTTAATTTTAAAAAGAGAGATGGAATGAGTGTAAAAAAGAAAAAAAAAAACAGATGGAAAAATTTCCAGGTACTCATTTTAATTTTCAATTGAAATTAGTGACAAAAAAAAATAAACCAAATGTATTTTTCATCCTTCTCAAAAGAGTTTGAGGAGGTTTTTCTTAATAAACTATTTTGGACAAAATATATATTAAAGAATTTTTTTCAATTGATTGATGACCTCATATCAAAGTAGATGAAGAGAATTGCTATCTCTGGGGTGGTTCCTGCAGAGATAAAACTACATTTTCAGTGAGAGCACTCGTGCCTGGTGAGTATGGGGTGCTCAGGCTCCTGGAGAACAAGAACCTGTGTCTGCAGGTGATGTGGCCAAACCTTTTCTGCAACTTCTACTCTGCCAGCCAGGCTGGAGCATGTCCACGGAAGGGAATGGAGCTGGGAAGGGGCTGGAGAATTCCTGAGGGAGCTGGGAAGGGGCTGGAGAATTCCTGAGGGAGCTGGGAAGGGGCTGGAGAATTCCTGAGGGAGCTGGGAAGGGAATGGAGAATTCCTGAGGGGGCTGGGAAGGGAATGGAGAATTCCTGAGGGGGCTGGGAAGGGGCTCAGCCTGGAGAAAAGGAGGCTCAGGGGGGCCCTTGTGGCTCTGCACAACTCCCTGACAGGAGGGGACAGCCGGGGGGGGATTTGGGATCTGGGAACAGGGACAGGAGGAGAGGAATCCCAGAATCTTTGAGGCTGGAAAATCCCTCCAAGGTCAGCGAGTCCCAGCCGTGCCCAATCCTCACCCTGTCCCCATGCCAGGGCACTGAGTGCCACATCCAGGGATGGGCACTCCAACCCTCCCTGGGCCGCCCCTGCCAATGCCCATTCCGCCCCTTTCCATGGAGAAATCCCTGAGGAAATGGCTTCAGGTTGTGACAGGAAAGGTTTATATTGGATGTCATGGAAAATTCATTCACAGGAAGGGATGCCCAGCTCTGGCACAGCTGCAGTAAGAGTAGAAACTCCATCTCTGCAGGGATTTAAAAGCCGTGCGGATGTGGCACTTGGGGACATGGCTCAGTGCTGGGGAACATTGGACTCGTTAGTCTTAGAGGGCTTTTCCCACATCAATATTCCATGAATCACTGAGGATGTAATGGCAACAGGAGTCACCCCACCTGAGCCTTGTCTTTGTCATCCCTGCCATGGGGACAGTGTGATGGAGCACAGCCTGCGCTGCATCCCACAGACACTGTTTGTCCCTTGTCCCCTGCGGGTGGCCGGAGCAGTGGCCACGCTGTGGGTCAGCGGCCAGTGCTGAGGCCATGCAGCTGTCCCTGCCATGGAGGTGGCAGCTCCAGCCTTGTCTCCCTCTGTGGTGTCCCCACCGCGAGCCGACAGTGACATCTAGTGACACCAAATGGCTCCCCAAAGCCCCGAGCACGGAACAGTCCCGAATTCCCAGCCCTGCTCCCGCCGCCTGGCCAGCGAGGAGCGGGGCTGAGCCGCAGCGCTGGGAGTCAGTAAATACAACCTAACACGCATTTCCGTGGGCTTTAAAGCTTTGCAGACCCTCCAGCAGGAGGTAGCGAGGGCAGAGCGAGCACAGCAGCGTGTTTTGAAGGCATTTTTGGGGCAAGTCGAGCCAGTTTTGGGTCCGCAGAGCAGTGGGCGACGCCTCCTCCCTCCACGAGGGGAGACCTCAAGTGAGGGGGGAACGTGTGTTCCTGACAGGGCTGTGACAGCTATTCCTCTACCATTAAATAATAATTGAGTGGGGAGAGACAGCGAACTCCTGTGCGGTTTGTGGCGGCAGCGGCAGAGCCCCGGCTCGGTTTGGGGGTTTTTTGGGATGTTTTTGCGGTGTTTTGGGGTGTTTTCAGACGCCGGCGGGAGCTGGGGAAGGGGGGCCAAGATGGCGGCGGGACCCTCACACCCCGCGGCTGAGGGGGATGACGGCGAGCGCGGCCCCTCAAGGCGGCGATGGCGAGCGCGGGGCCCTGAGGGGCGCAGGGGGCGGGGGCGGAGGAGGAGGAGGAAGAGGAGGAGGAAGAGGAAGAGGCGCTGCCCGGCGGGTCAGGGCGGGGAAGTCGCCGCCCGAAGATGGCGGCCGCGGCGGGGCCACACGCCGGGGCTGCTGCGGAGGCGCGGTTCATCAGCAGCGCCAAGGTGAGCAGCCCGCGGTCTCCCCTCCATGAGGGTCCGGCCCTTCCCGCCCGGCTCGGGGCTCAGAGGGAGCAGAAAGCCGCAGGGTCCCCTCGGCATGGAGGGATTCCCTCAGCTCCCGGCTATGACTCGGCTTCGGGCGCGTCCCTGACCCGCGGTTGTCCCTCGGCAGGGAAAGGGTTTGTTCGCCACCAAAAACATCCGCAAAGGGGAAACTGTCTTCGTGGAGAGGCCGGTGGTATCATCCCAGTTCCTCTGGAATGCCCTGTACAACTACCGAGGTGAGCGGCTGGCGCTGGCGGCGTGTCCCCGTCGCTGTCACCTGTCCCCGTGCGGTGACCGCGGGACCCCGGAGAAACTGCCCGGTACCGAGGGAAGGGTTTGGGTTTGTCTGAGCGCCTCTGTAAAGGTGGCCCTGCTGCCTTTTCTGCCTGTGCACTGAACTGTTGACAAGCTCAGGTGTCATCTGAGGGATGGTGACTTCTGTCAGCTCTGGAGGAATGTGCCACCATAGAATCTTGGAATGGGTTGGGTTGGAAGAAGCCTTAAAGATCATATTCCACACCTGCCATGGGCAGGGACACCTTACCCTAGCCCAGGGTGCTCCAAGCCCCATCCCCATGTTCCTCTCTGGTTGTGTGGCAACACAAATGGTTCTTGCCCTGGGTTCTGGTACCTTTCCTTTCTGAAGGCTTTCCTGTGGCATCCATCTCTCCATCCATCCATCCATCCATCCATCCATCCATCCATCCATCCATCCATCCATCCATC